GTGATGATGTGGAATGCTGCTGTTGGGATGTGAGCTGGCTTGCTCACTCAGAGTGCCATAGGTTGTATCCATTAATGGAAAACGCTCCTATTTGGTAACCCAGCAGTTCCATCTCTCAGCATCAACCTGGAGAAATGGTCACATGTGCCCACAAGGAGGTTTCTATAAGAGTGCTCATGGCAGCATTCGTTTAAATAGAAAAATGTGTGAAATAACCTAATTACCCAGCATTAGGGGTATGGCTATGCTTACTATAGAATACTATGCAGCAGTTAAAAAGAGTGAAGTAGACTTAAGAACCACAGTGGATCAATAGCCCAGATTACTACATGCCCTCCCCCTCAAAACTCTACATTTGTTCTGCAATTGAATGTGCACTTCTGCTGGGAAGTATAGTATATTGGTTCATTCATTCATTTATCAGTGTTTGCTGAGTACCCCCCTTGGTTTCAACCATTCGTACTGTGGCAAATCTCTCCAATGCTCAACTCTTATTCATCCTTCAGGTCTCAGCTTAGCCATCACTTCTTCCAAGAAATCCTTACACATCTCAAGTTGTGTTAGATACGCTTCCTATGTTTCCCTACAGCCCCCTGTATTCCTCACTGCATAGCACTCTTTATGCTGCGGTACAATCACCTGATTCCTTACCTGTTTTCCCCTTTAAACTCTGTGCTGATGAGGCCAGAGATCAAGACTCTACTCCTAGTTCTATGGTAATAGACACCCAGTAAATATCTGCTGAATGAACTGATGATGGATGGATGGGCAGATGAATCGATAAATAATGAGAATGAGCTGCTATTCACTGTACCTGATTTGCCTTATACCTCACTACTCTAAGCCAAAAAAATAATAATAAAAAGGTGGGTGGGGGGAATCTTAGTTTGGTGGAGTCCTTGCTTCTTAGCGAAATCCGAAGGTTCCATGCAGGCCCAAGCAGCACCGTGCCCAGTGCAGAAGCCAGTCAAGTTGACAGTCAAGTTCAGAAACAGAAGCTGCCCTGCTCTTTTCCCAGCCAGACCCATGAAGAAATGGCTGTGTAACTCGTGTTGCTGGACTCCAATACAGGGTACAGGAACTGACTGTGGGCTAGGGGCCTGTAACCGGTCAGCCTGTCTTCTCCTTGCTGTGTCTTGAACGTTAGCCAGCTGGGAGGCATGTCTGAGCTCTAAAATTCTGCCTTTGCATTATTACAACAGGTGGTATTGTGGTGTTGTGGTTGAGAAGGTGGAATTTGGCATTAGACCTGGGCTTTAGACCTGGCTCTGGCATTACCAGCTGTAGTAGGTTGGGTGAGTGCATTTTTTGAGCTCTAGCTCTTTCTCTGAGCTTCACCAGCCTCATAAATATTTGTAAGGCACTTAAAGCAAAGTGAATATTCAGTAAATGGTTGTTATTATTATTATTATTATTATCATCATCATCATCATCGTCATGATTACTGTCCACACACTAGACATTTCACTAGGGCATCCAGAACCACTGAGGTCCACGCTGGGGATTGATTCTTATAGACAATCTCTGCTGAGTCCCTTTTACTATGAACAAATGAATGAGTCATCTATCACCTAAGAACAACGTCTATCCACATAGACTTGCTGAACATATCTTACAGACAGGGAAATTGAAGTCTACGTGAGTGACGCCATGTGTCTTAATGTCACATGGTGAGTTAGTAGCAGAGTCAGCATGGGTCCCTTTATCCTCTGCTTATGTCAGTTCTCATTCAGTGAAGGGGTCCACTTAGGGGAGACATTCCACATTTCTTTCTTGTCCTGGCCAAAAGTAATCAGTCTACTGGAAGCATCCATGGGGCAAGCACAGAAGCCTCTCCCTTCATCAATGTCATACCTTGGGACACTATCTCCAGTATAGATAACAGAAAGAATAAATATTTTTGCTGAGAGAAAAAAATGAAGACAAAGGTCAAAGGGGATCATGTAATGGGTTGAGTCAGGGAAGGAAAAAAAGCATTTTTTTCCTCTCTCCTCTTTTTCTCCAAAACAGTCTTTATATAGAACTTGTATAAGAGCCAATTTATTTGATATGGAAAAAATGTGAAAGCAGCAAAATACACACACAGAGAGAGAGAGAGAGAGAGAGAGAGAGAGAGAGAGAGAGAGAGAGAGAGAGAGAGAGAGAGAGAGAGAGAGAGAGAGAGAGAGAGAGGGAGAGAGAGAGAGAGAGAGGGACAGACAGATACTTGTGTTGGAGTTCAGAACTTGAATTACTAGGAGATAAAGGAGCTGAAATGATAGGTTGACTTGGAACGATGTTTTTCTTTGTTCAGAGTCTTAAAGAACATTCAGGTCAGGAAGCCCAGCCCAGCTCAAGTCTCCAATAAATGAGACTCATTTTGAGACTCAAGAAAGACAAAGAAGATGACCAATCAATGCCTCCATTTAGCCCTTGTGCTTGTCACAGAATAGGGACTAAAGACATACCTGTTGAGTGCATGCATGAAAGAACAAATGTTTCACAAGGGTGTGGACCTGTGGTGGTTTGGGAGGCAAACTGGCACAGGAGTAGGCATTTTTGCTAAGTAGTTAAGGTCTTCAGCACGGAAGTGTGAGTGTCCACAGGAAAGGAACTGGGTCTGAGTCATCCCGCTAATCTCCGCCTCCCAGTCCAGATTCTGGCACACAGAATGTTCTCAATGCATATTTGTAAACTGAATGAGTAGTTGTATGAGTGAAAGAGGCCTTGCAGATTCCTGGGCCTTCGAGATCATTGAGAGCGGTGGCTATTAAACTTGAACCAGCATCAGAGTCGTCTGGAAAAGCCCTGTACTCAGAGCTTCTGATTCAGTCACCTGGGCTGGGGTCTAAGAAACGGGCCTTTCTACGCACCCATTGAGGTGGATGCTGCTGGTCAGGGGCCACACTTTCAGAACCTAATTTAGTGCAGTGGTTCTTAAACTTGGCTGCACATTATAATGAGATTTTAGAAGCCCCATGGTCAAGCCTTAGCCTTACCAATTATGTCACTACCTGGCAGGGGAGGGAAGGGTTCAGAGAGGAGGCAAGTGAGATACAGGCATTTTTTAAATGTCCCAAGTTTTCATGTGATGCAACCGAGTTTGAGAACTACTAATCTACTGCAACCTCCTTTTGTGGAGGAAGCCTCTGAAGACCAGAAAGGGTAGGTACCTAGCCTAAGGTCATAGAGCAATGTAGTGACTTAGTTGAAAATAGAACTCAGGTGTTTTTACTTCTTTAGCTTAATTCCCACCATTCCTCACTCATCAGCCCATGTCAGCTCTTACAGGCTCATAACTTGAGGCCAAAAAAAAGATAGAAAAAAAAGCAGTGTTTAAACTGAGGTTTTAAGATATCTGTTATTTATGATCTCCATTGTTTTATAAAGAAATTTTAAGTGGATGCTTATTTATAGAACTTTACTACTCTAGACAAATTAGGAGATGGAAGAGACAGGGTTATGGAATATTTTCAAGGCAGGACAATTCTTTAAATTTTAAATACATTCTCAAACACAAACCAAGCATGCCCTCTGAGTTCTTAAACAGGTGTGCTTCATTGCTGAGTCAATGAATGGGCAAGGGTTTGCTTGTGATGTGCACGTTAATTGCTGGCATGTAAAAGGAAGTGCTGGTAAAGTGTTTGAACATGATTCTGTCTCTTAAAAAGATTAAAAGTTTCCTCCAGAACTTGGTTTCTATTAGTGACTGGCTCAGTAAATATTTTCAAGTAGACAGAGCAGAGGCTGTGTCTTCTATCATCTTAGAATCAAAGGAAGAGCCACAAAAGGCCCATAGAAACCACTGACTTCAACATCTTCATCACACGGAAGAGGAAATTGAGGCTCAAAGAGTCTGACTGATTTATCTAACAGTAAGTAGACTGGCTGGAACTAGACACAGTTCTTTCCAATACTCAAAGTATTCCCCACCAAACATCCAGTGTATATAGTCGTACTCAACAAATGTTTGGTGATTGACTTCATAGACTCTTGGTACCCAAATTAGGTGGCTAAGGCTCCCTCATTTGTTAGGTTAAAGCAGAATCTGCAATCACATTGTTAAGTGAACACTGGTTAAGTGCACTGACTTAGTAGTCAAGGTGGAATTCCAAGCCTGATCTCACCATATCCTAACTGTGGGGTTTTGGACACATGACTTCACATCTCGAAGCTGCTGTTTTCTTCTCTGTGAAATGAAAAGGATAATAGGGCTACGGATACAGAGAGGATGACACAAGTAAAAGCTGTAAAGGCCTTAGCCCATTGTCTGGCAGATAGGAAAAGCACTAATGACTTCATGATAATGTGGCTTCTCTCATAAAACATAAATCCTGGGCATGTTTGAGGAAGGTGTAATAGAGAAAGGTGGCTTGAGAAACGAATATCAAAGACAAACACTATGTCATGTAAAAGCATTGAGTATCCAGAAGAATCATGGAGACCTAGAGCTGCAAGGACCCTTAAGGACCAAATATGTGTTTCAGGGAAAAAAAAGAAAACAAAACAAAACAAGGACCATGACTGGTGATGTCCACCTTCCAGCAAAATTCTCATGCAAATACCCAGGAATATGGCCAATTCCCCGCCAACTTGCTATAATTTCACCTTCTCACCCACTAAAAAAGCAATCCGAATGCATGAATATTCTTTAATCCAACATAAAAAAGCAATCGTTAGCAAACTTCAATTCTCCCACTTTCATTAGTAACAAACGACTTCCTTACTGCTAATTTCATCCAACTGTTGGGAAAGCTAAGTTTCAGAAAGGTTGAAATGCATAGGGTCACACAATAGAGCTGCCATCAAAATCCAAGCCTTCTGCTTCCTTGTCCACTGCCTTTCCCACCAAATCAACTCTGCCTTGTTAAGACAATTCTACACCCAATGCCAAGCTAGAAATCCCTAGAAGTGAGTCTGGCTGTGATGAACTTTCTTCCAGTCCAGGTCTCTCTGGCCCTCCTTGTATCCCTCCATAGCCCACCTACTTGGTCCTCTCCCTGTCCAGAAAGTGCACTTACATGTCCGTGAATCTTCTATTGAGATGTAGGATGGAGGCCACATCCACCTGGAGAGGAGGGTCCCGGACCACCTTGTACTGCAGGGGCTTACACGCTAGGCAGAGCGGGCTGTCTGCAATGGAGGTCAACATGGCAGCATCAATCTCCAGGTGCTCATCCAACGTGTAGATCTGAATGCCATACACCTCCTCACCCACATCCCGGAGCTTAATGGTCAGTGGAACATCACAGATGACATTCTGAGGGCCCAGGGAGATGTTCTTCCCGTTGGTAGTCAACAATTTGATGTCATTGACAGCCCCACTAGAGTCCCAGTCAGTGGAGACAAAGGTCACCCAGATCGCCAGAGACTCCGGGACCAAAGGGTAGTGGAATTCAAGTTCAAGGTAGCAGCCTTGTGGCTCTGGGCAGGCTGGAGGGACCGTGTGTGGGTTGACAGCTGAATTTGGGCTCCAAGTACGGACACTGGACTTACAGGGCTGTTCAACGTCTGGATGACCTATGGAGAAGAGATGAGGATATGAGTTCCTGAACAACCTTCAGTCTGGTCCTCAGAGTTTCCTGCAGATCTTGGGAGAGGTTGGTCTGACTAGAACTCAGACAGAGGGGGAAAAGAAAGAGAAGACTCTCAGCATTTTGGTGACTCTTCTGTATGTACAGCAGCCAGCTCAAATCTACCACTATAATACTTGAATGAATCACCAGACATTTGGTCAAAAGTATACTCAAGTAAGTGTCTTACTATTGAGTTAATCCCCAAACTTTCCTTCCTCATCTTCCATTGTAGGCCTTGTGCCTAGGATGGAAAAAAGAAAGGGACAAATATTTGTCAAACGCCTAAGTCCCATAAACTTGTTTAACTCTTGCAAGAACTCATTTCAGAGGTGAGGGAATGTGGAGTGAAATGACCAGTCTCACAGCTTTAAATGTAAAAGGTCAGCATTAGAACTCTCCTTTGCCTCTTCCGGAAGTTCACAGTCTGTTTTCACTATTGGATGCCACTAAAATAAACTAGAATTCCTGTGGTACTGCCTTTGCGGTAACCTGTTTGGAATGACAGAAGCGTCAGAAACCTTCAACAAAGAGGAGGTGAGCACAGATAGCTTCTGCCCCTTGGGCTGAGGATTCTGGGAGGAAACTGTCTAGAACAATGAATGACAGAGCTGGAAGGCAGCCCTGGAGCCATCTTATCTCTCCTCCTCCCCTTCTCTACATGAGGTCATTCCATACCACTGAGCTTCTTCATGCTCTGTCCAATCTGCCTCAGGAAGGGGAGGGTTGGATGAAGAGAGGGAAGAAGGAAGGAGGGATTCTCCTACTCTTTCCTCAAGGAGAAAATGCCTAATCCCTCCCTATTTCAGACTGCAGTGACTTCTGAATTGTTTTTTGCTGAGATCATTAGTCCTGGACCCTCAGAGAGCTCTACTTTGCACTACTGAGAATAGTAATCAGGACTCAGCGCAGTGATTGGCTCTAGTTTGTTTAAGGGAGTCTATCAAGAGATATAGATGATGAGCTGGTGAGGGCAGGATGGAGGATTTCAAGTTGGCCTGTTTGCCACATTTGTTTTTTCCTTTAGCATCAGTGGTTGGTAGAGGGGTGGGGACACTGGGCATTTCAAAAGCAAAAAGGAAAAATCAATCTTTGTCTGAAAGGTTTTGTGGTGCTGTTACAGCATAACAGGGATCACCTCACCACCATATGGTAAGTAGGAAGTCATTTTGGGGTGGAAACGCTATTCCAGGGAAGGCTGTAAATGCCTCCAATGTCCTCGTATCCACCCAGCCAAGGGACAAGAGAGAACATACCAAGTGGAGATGGAGAAGAGAAGAAACAGGGGCACAAGGAAAATTCACAAAGATCTTTCAAGATATAACATATCAGAACAAGGAAAGATGGACGTAAGATTCCCTCCACCCCTCCTTGGCTAGATTCATTCATCCCTTGCAGCAAATGCTGGCTAGAGTCAACAAAAAATTTAAGTCAAAGGCACCAATAAGACTCCCCACCTAGACAGAAGCCTTTCTTGCCATCTACTCTCCACACCACTGAGTTCCTGATTCTCTTGACTTTGGGGGTTGTTGGCAAACATATTTCACTTATTCATTCAGTAAGCTTTACTGAGCACAGCATTTTAATACATATATGAAGAACACTCTGTAGCCATTAATTAATTCATCTCAGTGTCACCAACATCTTGCAGGATCTTTATTATTTTTGTCTCTATTTCGTAGCTCTGTTTCAGTCAATACCATCCAGCCTTTGCTTAATACAGTGTCTGGTCCAAAGACAATGCACATAGTGACTGCTCAGGAAATACGTGTTAAACAAAGCATCTTCTATCTTGTTAATATAAAGTTAAAAAAAGAAGTAGACGACTGGATTAAGAAACGATGGTACATTTACACAATGGAGTACTACTCAGCTATAAAGAAGAAGGCAATAGGACCATTTGCAACAATATGGATGGAACTAGAGAACATTATGCTAAGTCAAATAAGTCAGTCAGAGAAAGACAAATACCATATGATCTCACTTATATGTGGATTCTAAAAAACTGAATAAACGAGAAATCTAAACAGAAATAGTCTCAGAGACACAGAGGAAAAACTGATGATTGCTACATGGGGCAGGGGTGGGGATGAGGGAGAAGGGGAAGGGATGAGAAAATACAAATTGGTAACTACAATATGGCCTCAGGGATAGAAAAGACAGTCTGGGGAACATAATCAATAATGTTGTAAGTATTTTTAAGGGGGCCAGATGGACTCATGTCTTGTGAGGGAGACCACTTCATAGTCAGTGTAGAGGCCTGACCAACGCACTGTATTTCTGAAGCTGATGTTGAATAATATTGTATGTCAACTATAATTATATATACATATAGTCACCGGACATGGAGTAGAGAGTGGGAATGGAGTCAATGGAATTGTAATAGATAAGCATGATATCGGGGGTGGGAGGGCAGCAGATGAGGGGGGTTGTTACTTTGTGAGGGGTGAAAAGGATAACTATTGCATTGTTCTGTACACCTGAAACTAACAATAAAATTTAATAAATAAATAAATAAAAATAAAATTTGTTATCCAAACTGAAAAAATAAATAAATAAAAACAACTTGAAGGTATTTAAAAAAAAAAGGAGTTCATTCTCCATGGCATATTGGAGCCTGCTGCGTTCTGGTGAGTGCCAGGCGAACACGCCACCCCCTCCATGAGCTTTCTCCTGGAATTGGCAAGCAGTCGAGCAACGTTTCTCCCTTCCTTGGAGAAGACGACTGTCGGTGGTGGAAAGCCCCAGGACAGCGAAGATGACAAATCCGTTTGGCGCATGCTTCCTCCCTGGTTTCTTGTTAATCAGCAGAGGGACCAAATGCTCTCCGGAGGACAGGAAGGTGAGCCTGGTCATTGTGCCCAAGCAAGTCAACAGAAATAGAGATCTTAGCGAGGCTTGTGCTTGTCTAGAGTTTGTCAGAGACAAACTTTCAAGTGTACAAAAAGGAGCCTCAAGGGTTCCGGAGTCCAACCCATCACCAGAGCAGCCATCCCTTTAATAACACCAGGCTTCGTGACTTGACCATCCTCCACGTGCCAGGCACTGCGCCAAGCACGTTACATGCCTCAGGTCTTGTCCTACTGGCAATAAGTGTACGCTGCAGGTCTTAGGAAACTCATCTGAAAGAAGAGGGAGCTGAGACTCAGATGGTTAAGTAATTAATCCCCTGATGGGGAGTAGACTATTATGCGATACTGCTGGTCCAGGCAGCATGCCAGGTGTCGAAGCCATGAAAGTTGGGTAAAAATATCAGCTATACAGCTTCTTATTGTGTCACCTACTGCAATATTACCTCACAAGTTGCTGTAAAACTCAAATGGAATAAAATATTTAATAGATGCTCACACATCTATTGGCCCGGTTCTGAAAAGTAAGGAGGAAATAACAGGGCAAAGTTCAGGAAGAGCAGGCATTCCAAACAAAAAGAACAGTTGATGGAGACTGTGAGTGAAGAGGATGATGGCTGTGAGAACAATGTCAGAACAACAAGTGGTGAGGCTGGCAAACTAAGTGGAGCCCACATTATGAAGGGTCCTGTCTGTCCCTTTAAGGGAACTGAACTTTATATTGAGAGAGATAGGGAGCTACTGAAGAATTTTAACCAAACAAGTGAAAGTTGTCTTTTAGAAAAAAGCCCCACTGTTTAGGGGCACAGATACTATCCATCCAGTTGTCCACCCATCCATCTTTCCGTCCATCCATTCAAAGGATAACGATTGAATGCCTGGTTTGCGTCCAGAGCCGAGCCAGTCACCGAGAAAACAGGTTTTGTAAATACGTGATCTCTGCTCCTCATGGAGCTCCTGGGGTAGTGACCCAGTTAGGAGACAGCTATCCACTAATGCAGACAACTGTGGTTAGAGAAAGGGAACATCAGAGGAGAGAAGGAAACAGCCGAGTCTCTAAGGAGGAAAATGGACACAGCTGGCAAATCGATTTGACTGTGTGGTGGTGAGGCAGGGAGAAAGTCTGAAAATAGGAAAGAGAGGGCTGAAGAAAGGAAGGGAGGGAAGGAGGGAGAAAGAAAAGTGCAAAGGTACTGTTACTTCATTACTAATACATATCCTTTTATATATATGGTGACTAAATGAAAAGTTACGTGTTTATATAAGCTGTCGACTAGCAATGAGGCCATATATGTGTGTAAAATGTATTTATACATACTTATGTGGATTTAACTTTACATTTATGAAGATCTATACAGACATCCATTATACATCTATATGTATATACACTGTAGCTGTTGACACAAATATAGTTATAAAAACTTGGTGCCAAGTTTTTTGCAGATGCATACTTTAGCACACCTGAAATATTCTAGGCAAGAAAAAGGGGTAAAAGACTCACACAAATAAGAAAAAATGAAAACAGTTAGTGCCATGTGTTAATCTCTCATGGAAAACCCAACACTTATAATATATTCTATGCTTGCATAAGTGATCTTAATTGGGATTTGAGTGAGTCAGATCTCTCTATCTAATTACTGGGCTGCAAATGTATCATGCTATTGAATACCCCAGGAAAAAAATTATCTCTGAAATATAGTTTTTGCTAAAGAGACAGGAAAACAGGGTTTCTTTTTATTACACCCACTTTCTATGTACAAAGGCAAGGATTTCTGTGACTGTATTTTCCTGAAGTTCAGGGAATGGAGTTAATGAAACAGTGGATACTCAATCAACATTTTAAATGTTACATGAAGAATCTTCTATTTGTTAACCTTTTCACTGTGTTAACTGATTTCAAGTTTGTTCTCCACAATGTGTAAAAATCCACAGAAAATAATTATAGTATTTATAATACTTTTAAGTAAATACAGTTAAGGTGCTACATTGTATTACAATAAATGATTACTTCAAAGCATAAAAATTTCCTATTGTTGCTCATTCTTGAAAAACACCAACATATAGAACAATGTACATCTGCTTTCCTAACCTTCTTCTCTGGAACTCATTCGACTAGAGAGGAACGTTGCCGTGAAAATGTTAATATGGGGTCAAAAGAAAGAAGTGACAACTCCATAGAATATTGGAGCTGGAAAGGACATGCATTCTGTGGATAAGACGCTATCTTCAGAGAACCTAAGTGACTCCTTCACGAGCGCAGAGCACACTGATGGCCAGGCGGGAACCAAGATTCAGACCTCTTCACGGCCACCCCCCAGCCCTGCTCCCCCCCACCCCCATGCTCTTTCCGCAACCCCAAAGATACGTCTGGCATCGCTCATGGATTTGGGAGTTTTATGTTAGTTTGGGAAGTCCAAAAACTTAAACACGCAAAGATAAATAGGATGAAAATGAGTTGAGAAATAAATTGCAGAGTTTGGCTCATGGAAAAGTTTATTTCTTCAAGGATATTAAAAAGACTCTGAGCCAAACGGATCACAGAGCCTGTAATAGGATGCTCTAAAAAAAGAACAGTGTCTTTTCCTGGCCTGCATGGACTAAATTTACATATCCTGAAGGAAACCCCGGGGCTGCTGGGGTTCCTTGGAGGCCTGAGTCAGCTCAGGGAAACAGGGGGCTTGGCACTTCCAGCTGAACTCTTTTCGACATATCGCGTTTTAAGAGGGTCAGGGACAAACGAGGAACAGACTTAACCAATTGACAGTTGCGTTGGGTGGAGGTGTGGGGAGATGTCTGGAAATTATTTCATTCATACAAATGGTAGAATGAACCAAGAGGGTTTTAGTCAGAGAAGTTTCAGGGGAGCGTCTTGCTGACGCTACATCCCAAAGCTTTCTCAACGTCATTGACTTCTCTCTACTCTCACCATACCTCTCCTGGGTTGCTGCAATAGCCATGCCGCTGTTCCCTTTCCTCCAGCATGCTCCTCTCCCTCTCTCTTCTCCACAGAGTAACCCAAGCAATCTTTACAGCATGCATATCTCACCACAGCCCATGCCCTTGCCCAGGCACATGATGGCTCCTTGCTGCCCTCAGTGTAAACCCAAACCGTCCGTCATCTGGTCATTAGCTATCTCACCCAGTTTAACCTCTCCCCACTCCACACCTTGCTCATCATGCTCCAAATCCATGTCAGCCCTTCCAGCATTGTGGAAGAGCTTTGGTTTATGTGGGTTATGTGTATTAGTAGTTACAATATCATAAATTAAAACCCAGAAACTTTACAACACAAGAACACACAAGCATGTGTTCCATATGCTATCAGAGTAGCAATAACATCACATTCCATGTCGCTACTGGAAAGCGCTACTACTCTCGGGGGACAGTTAAGAGGGAGAAACATAAACGATGTCGTAGCATTATTATGGGAAGAATGTTAGACTCTGAGGATAACCGCATATGTCTCCAGGAACCTCGTAAGCCTCCAGATCACACGAAGAAAACCGATGCTCTGAGCATAGCAATATCTTTCACAGTCTCACATGCACCTTGCTGGCTGGTGTGGTGACCTTTCCCAGGAAGCCCGCGTCTCCAGTTCTGGGGGAAGTCTCCTTCCTCTGGGTCCCCCAGTGCTCTGTCCTATTAGCCCCGGCCTCATCAGGCCAGAGGGTGCATGCCAGCTTACTCCTCTGCCTCCCCTATCATGGTCAGCTCTGCCTTGCCCCCAACGCCCAGCACAGTGCCTGCCTGGCACACAGCTCCTGTGGTGGTCATAGGTGAGACTGGTTCATTCTCTGCAGGCACACAAAGGGTTCAGTAAGGGGTACACACTTTCTTCTGTGAGAGCCCCACATGGGTCAGGTTTGGGTGGAAAAGTAACAACTGCAGATTTCAGGAAGAACTTTCTAACAAATGGAGCTAGAAAAGGAAAGTCGAGGAGCTATATGAGCTGGTGCTAGAAGAGCCTCCGTGAGGGAGGGCGGAAGGGGGGGTCCTGCCCTGGGTGGGAACTGGAGCTGAATGACTCCCAGCATCCCTTCCAAGTCTGACGGCCTGTGATGCTGTGAGGATGAACTGAGGGCTTCTCCCAGGCATCCCTCTCACTTTACATTCCAGATGGGGTTGTTTAGAGTTCCCGAGATCGACTCTCGTTTTTATTTTAAGCGACTTGAGAAGATAAAATATAGTGTTGTCATTTTTTTCTCCATCACTTTCCTCTTTGATCCCACTGCCTTGCTTTACTCTATCTTTGGCTTTTTCTTTGCAATCTTCTTTCTAAAAAATACAGAGGAAAATGGAGGCATTCTCACTGACCCTCAATGAGGATTTGGATTCTGCTCCCTCTGACGGATTAGTGTGCCCACTCAGGGACTGTTGGCCTGAGCTGACCTGCACAGGAGCAAGAGGGACTGGGACGGGGACGCGGGGGCAGGGAGGCGGAGATGAGGCTGGGGTATGGGGGGGTGTTCTAAGTGTAAGTCTCTGAGGGCAAGAGAGGGCAAGATGGAAGACTGAGAAGAAAACATGGGGTCTCTCTCTGCTAGCCTGGCTTTCGGCACTATATCTGAGCTCTAAAGCAGGAGGCATTCCAGAAGGAAACTGCATAGGCAATAGCCCATGAGATTCTCAAGGCTCCAAACAGCCTTGCTCCAGGGACACAGTGCAACAAAGCACTGGGAAAAAGGCACTCTCTTAATTTCTACAGAAAAGAGGATCCAGCAGTGAAAGGTACCGTGAGGGAGCACAGAGACTGCCGGCCCCGGGAGGCCTGGGAGACTCCCCCGAGCAGGGGAGTTCTGCTCATGGGTGGAACCCACAAGAACAGAAATCATGAGATGTTTTCTTCAAGGGTCTTGTAGATACATGGATCCCACAAAAGAAGGGCACGTGGCAGACACTGAGAGGAAAAGTTATGACACATGTGAGAATGCCCTGGGTATTCCCAGCAAACACTGAAGAAGAATGAGACTACCAATGTCCTGAAGCCTCCAAATATGTGCATCGATTCTAAGATGACCTTGTTTGTGCTTACAGGCCGTCAGGGTCTGGCGGTATACACGTGCTGCGTCTTTATCAGGCGTGTGGCCTTAAGTACTTACTGAACATTTCAGTGCCTTTGTTTCCTGTATGGAAAGGATGCCATGCCTAGGCCAGGGCAGGTGCTCAAAAGACACGTGCTGAATGAATGCATGGACATTGGCCTTGATGTTGGGCAAAGGGTACAAACTTCCAGTTTTAAGATGAGTCACTTCTGAGGTTCTAATATGCAGCATGGTGACTACAGTTGACAATCCTGTATTGTTGCTAAGAGTATCTCTTAAATGTTCTCACCTCCCCCGCCCCCCCAAAAAAGTGGTGATTATGTGAGGTAATGGATGAGTTAACTAACCTTACTGTGGTAATTACTATGTAATATATACATGTATCAAATCATCATGTCATACACCTTAAATTTATACAATCTTATATGTCAATTATACCTCAATAAAGCTGGGGGGAAAAAAAGGCAAATATTTTAAATTTAAGAAATGCTGGCCTTGCAGGGCGCTCTTAAGATCAAATGAGATGGTATATGGGAGAGGCCACTGAAATCAGAAAACTTGGAGGCCTTGACAGAGTGGCTCTTTGCACATCCAACCTGTAAATGAGCTTCGGGCCGGCTTACCTTCTGCTTCCCTGGGACTCCAGTGTCCTGATGGGCCGCAGGGCATGGGGGAGGAGGCGTTGAAGGCGTACTGCACCAGGATTCTCCCTTCCAGGCAAAGGTCACATGCTGATCCCAATTCTCTAGGAGGCCAAGGAAAGAAGAAAGAAGCACCGACTTAGGAACAGTTGAATGAGCCTCTGACTTGGCGAGGCCAGAGGCAAGACAGCAGAGGACACACTATTGGATGCTATCCCCTTTCCTCCCTGTCTGTGCCAAAGCTTCCAGAATATGAAATCCCCCCTACCCCTCCTATTGCCCAGCACGAACCCTGTTTGGGCCTAAGTGGCTTCTGTGCTGATGGTGGATATACTCCATTAACTTCACAGAATCAACAGGCCAAAGACTTACTCACTACCTGCATAATCTTAACTTCATCAGCTAGCCAAAGCTCCATTGAGAATTTGATGTGTGCTTGTGAGAAAACTCTTTTGCCCCATTTGACCTCAAATCATATTCTTATATACTCATATTCATCAGGTACCTGCCATGTGCCAGGCACCATCCTGTGTTGTAGGTATTAAATAGAAAGAAGGCATGGTTCAGTTCCTTCATCTGAAAAGTGAGTGGGCTGAACTAGATGATGCCTAAAGAAGCTTCCAGCCTTGGCATTCTGGGGATGGAGAAGACACTCTTTGATGTAACAGTCAAAAGCAGCTTCCTTACCATGCCACCTAATTCCTTTCAGAAGCTTTCCAAGGGGCAAGCTAATCCCTCAAAGGGATCAGTCCCCAAAGTGGAATATTACAGCGGCTTCCCCTACTGTCTAGTGTCGTTTTTATCTGGATTCAATCTCCCTTTAGACTCTGGGATCCTGCTTGTTCTCCAGACTTGGCATATCTTTAGGAGGCAGTTGTCAGGAGAGGGGAAAGATGAGTGTGGACCTCAAACTGCAAACCTGAGCGACCTCTGCACAGAGGCTGCAAAGGGAAGAAAGATGTCAAGCAATGTGCCAGCCCGATCCATTATTTCTCAAAATGCAATGAGCCTGCTACTACCTCGTTCATCATTCCTAGAAGTAGTTCCACCCTTTGGCTACCTGCAGCAACATAATGGAGGAGCCGTCTCGCAAGCCTTAGGGCTTTCCTTTCACAGGGAAGCTCGGTAGCCCCTGGGGTCACATGGTAAGGAAGAGCACGCTTGTGAGCATCACAGTCTGCTGGTACTCCCCATTCCTCCTCCACACAGGGAGCTCATCCCCAAACCCAAACCTGAGCAAGTCATGCCCCTGCTTATCTTCTTATATGGTGGTCAACATGTGTACTTGTACTGGATAGATGGATGGATGGATGGATGGATGGATGGATGGATGGATGGATAGATGGATGGATGCATACCAGTCACTCAGACATGTTGCTAAGACTCATGACTAACCTAGTCTGGACCCTTAAATTGTAGATTTTATACCCTTAGCTTTATTATTATAAATATGAAACCATACATAGGTACAAATTTTGCAAGCACAGAAATATTCAGTGATAGGAGAATGATGACATAACCTAAGGTTAATCTGCTCAATCGAGTAGTAAGCAGTTATGACAAAAATATTTATAAAGATTATGCAATTTAATGGGAAATGTGTAAACTACAACATTAAGTGAAAAAGTCATATTCAGAACTGAATCTACAGCAGCATTTCAATGCTGTTCAAACAAGCTTAATGTGACAAAATATCACTGGCAGTAATTTATGGGTGGTGGAACATAGGAGGATCTCCCACCCCTGTTTTTATTCCCCTCGGTCTTCTGAATTTTCTATGTATTTTTGAATGTGCATGACTTACTCCTGGGCCAGCAAGAATAACTATTATACAAATATCCTTATAGGCGAGGAACAAGGAATGGAGAGACAGACTCCCAAGGCACCACTCTGTAGGGCAGAGCTTCATTACGATGACCACAATCCATGCGCAGCAGCTCTGAGTCACATGAGTGGCTTTATGATGACAATGAGATTACAAATGCCCTAGGATGGAATCAGGGACTACACTGACCTGAACAGCCATTGAGTCTTTCTTTCTATTGCTTTCGATGCTTTAGATGTGTGTATGGATTATACACATACAGTCACCTGCATGGCACTGAGTTCTTGGCACATCCTAGGCTCCCAATCAATACTTTGGTGAGTGAATAAACCACCATGCCTGATAGTAAATAGGTCCTGTATGCACAGAGCTCCACAAAGTATATTCCCTCACATTCATTGATTCACATGTCCATTCATTGTTTCATCTAGTCATTCACTGCAGAGTCATTGAACAGCCTCTGGTTGCTAGTGCTGTACAAGTACTAGACACGGATAATCCAAGGGTATCTTTGATGTGATGATCCCACTTTACAGATTAGGAAACTAAGGTTCACAAGTACAAAGTAATCATCCCAAGGCCATAGCTTGGGAAGTCAGAGAGTAAATCTGGGCTTTAGCAAAATCAGGCAGTGTCCCACATATCTAGAGAGTGTATATATGTGTTTCTTACCTTTGGTATTTATTTGAATGTTATAGGTACCTGTATCTACACAGTCAGACATGTGAACATACACACGTACATGTGTGCGTGCGCACGCACACACACACACAATCATAGAAATACAGGATAGTACTGAAACAGTCCTTCCGTCTTATCCAGTATCATGAGAGTCAGTGCTTAAGCCCCAAGTCTATGCTGTCCAATATGGTACCAAATGTTACATGCATGTGGCTATTTAAATTTAAATTAATTAAAATTAAATAAATTTAGCAACCTATTTTCTGAGTCACACTCATCACATTTCAAGTGCTCCACAGCCACAGTTGGCTAACTAACGGCCACAACATCGGATGGTGCAGATAGAGAACATTTCCATTATTGCAGGACGTCCTAACGGGCAGTGATTCTCTAAGAGGCCCACTGTGTATCATGAATTACCTTCTCTTCTATGACTCTAGAATGGTATTAGTTATGTACCACGCTTGGGAGAATTAAGAAAATGGTTATTCCAGTAGTGTTCTGTGTTATGAGATTTGGGTGAAGAACCTCAGCTGAGAAAGGCTAGAACTCTGGCTTCCAGATCGGAACACCGGCTGAGGAAGAGGGGAACAAATGGGGCCTCACAGACTTCAGACCCAGGTCTCCGGGTTCCCAGTCCAGCGCTCTTTCCAATGCATCGCAGCCCGCCATTCAGAAAACTGAAATCATCCAATCAACACATGTTTGCAAGGCAGATAAAAATAAAGGAGTTCGGAAAGCTGAGGGTGGCCTTGAATTATTTATCCAGTTGCCCATGTGTGAGGACACAGGCTGTGGGAGGATCTGAATGTGTTTTTCTAAGGAAAACCCTTGTAGTCCCTTAGACCACAGATGTGAGGAACAGCAGGAGGACATGAGGATGGCCAGGGGCAAGAGGTTGGCATTGATGGATGTAGTGGAAAACACCAGAGATTTTGCAAAGTAAGACCATTTTCAAGTAGCTCAACAGCCCTGGAAAACATGGCACAAGACGGGAGCTAATATCTTTTGAACATAGCGTGTGTGCACAAGGCATCTCACAGATGTCATCATGTTGAATTCCCCACAAAAGCCAGGTGAAGTGGGCATGGTTAGCACCTTTTTATGGAAGACAATGAGGGTCAGAGAAGGTCAGAGAGGGGAGGTGGCTTGCCCACGGTCCTAGAGACTTGGAGTGGTGAAGCTGAGAACGGGACACAGGCAACCTGACATCAAAGCGTGTGCACTTTGAACTAAGCCAATATGCAGGAGTATGAACTCTGTGTGTACGGGAGAGTGCTATACACAGTTCCGCTTCTTTACAACAAGTTATTGAACTTGTGGACTGACTTCCTTTCGCCATAGCCTATGGTCTACGTAGCTGTTAACCCTAATTAGACATGTTTCTAAAATGTCAGTTTTAATTTAACATATGATAACTCCGTTATGAAACCGTAGACTGAACAGAATAGCTATTGTATGAGCCTCAAGTACCAACTGACTATAGGTTATTAAAAACATATTGATTGAAGCTGAGGGCACTATGTAATAGAGACATATCTCATTACACAAGAATTAACCCTCCAATAGGTTCCCAACAATCAGATGGTATTTATTTAATGGACAATAACTGCTTTATGAAATACAAATTGAATACATACACAGGAAGCTTCATTTACAAAACTTCCATTTTTAAGTGGAATCGAGGCCAAGGCTTGACCAAAAGTCTGATCCTTCTCATTGCCACAGAAAAAATAAATAAATCTACAGGCTGCTGGAAAGCCTGCTCTGAAGTGTCACATGAGGTTTCCCAAACCCAGCTCTGAGCTCCCAGTGAGGGCAGCTGGGGCAGGGGCAGGGGGGTTTCTACAGAGGGCCTAGGGGGTGCATTTCCTTCCCTGCGATCACATTCCCCCAGCTGCCGAATGAAGGTTCTAGATTCAGGGACTGATGGTAGAATGGAAAATTAGAGCCCAAATTTAATATGGTGCCATGATCTAATATATTTTAACTCACTCACACACACACACACACACACACACACACACACTCCTTCACAATTCAAGTTTGGGAAGCACTTACTGAAAACACATGGGAGTCTGAGACTAGACACTGCAAACTGTGAGTTGCAGCTCAGCTCCCACAACCTTCTATGGGCTCTGGGTCAAATCCCTCGGCCTCTTGGAGCTGCAGTTCCCTCCTTATCTGGCAAAGGAAGATGGCCCCTCATTTATAGTTACTGGAAAGGTTATATGAGAGTCTGTATATAAAGCATTTAGTACAGAATCCAGCACCGAGTCAGCACTCAATAAGTGGCAGCAACCGCAACCATCGAGTAATATCAAGTCATGATTAGCTGGTTATTATTTTCAGCATCATCAATGTTATTGCATCATTTGTGGATAAAGAGGGCCGCCGGGGGGGCTGGGTGTGGTGGGGTGGGGGGGTTAATATACTAATCTGTCCTAAATTATAGCTAAGTTCCAATAGAGATGTCAACATTTTAGTCTATTTTCAGGACTCTTTACTTTACATTTTATTATCTTTTTTAGGTAATTTTTATAAGAGTTTATTTGAGCTGAACTGATAATATATGTCGGGGAGCAAGATCTCAACTGCTCTCCGTTTCCATGGCCCTTTAAAACCTGGTTCCTTCAAAGCTTGAGCTCTGCAGGGCCCTCGGTGCTGAAAGTCCCCACAAGAGACTATCTGATTCAGGTCTCCGACTCAGGCCACTGAGGCATCATGAGACCCACTTTTCAGGGGAGAAGAATAGCCTCAAGGAGGGAAAGTGACTTGCCCAAGGCCACACAGCTAGTACCTGACTGATCGGAGAGCAGAACTGAGGTATTTTGTGCCTCAGTTTCTCACTCCCTGGTCTTCTAAAAATTCTGCCTTTCATTCAACAAAGAAACATTGGTCACAGTTAAAGATTCTAATTATATACTATATACCATATGTAATATACATATATATATATATATGTATATATGTATATATATCCCTACACACATATACACCTTCATATATAATATTTCTGTGAAAGCGTTTGCCAATTTCAAGTCCTGAGCTCATGGAGACCAGACCAGTATCTCCATCCCAGAGGAAGCTCTGGAAAAAAGAAGTTTCCAGATTTTTAATAATAAATTCAAGCTCAACAGGCATTCACTGAAAATATGTTTTATTACTTGTTAATGTCTGTTAGTTGTCATTCATTTGTTCCCTGACCTCCACATGTATAATGGTCCTCTACCGGCCTGTCACTGGGCTAGGTGGTGGGGATCCCCATTAAACAAGGGCAAGGACAAAAAACACAGCAAAATCCCCAAGTTTCACATCCCTTCCAAGTTTTCCTTTCTTGGCAGGAGAGAGAAGGGGGAACCAACACTGCACAGACCACACTCACCTTTCAAAGAAGTGCCCATCGATGGGTGGGAACCACTCCAGCGTCACGGAGTCGGTTGTGTGGCCCACAATCTGGGGGGCGAGGGCGACAGGCGCCGGCTTCTTGGAGGGCTGCCAGCCCTGGTACACCAGGTCCAGGTAACAGTGCATTCTGGCGACTTGATTGGGCGTGAAGGAGTCCGTGCAGTCGTCATCTGCAAGCGGGCAGAGGGAGAGATAAGAACCTGGCTGCACGGGCAGACATGCAAGAGAAGGATGATGTCTCCTGGCGGCTGGAGGGCCAGCACTCCAGCCCTTGCCAACTCAGAGCTGGCCTCTTCCAGTGCTCAAGAGTTAATGGTCTGTGAACAAATTAGTGTAGTCATCACTTCTGGAGACAGGTGAGCGGGAACAGGAGGAACGGGAGGGTGGACGGAACTGAAACAGTATGTCTGAGGCTGGAGAGGGAACAGCCCAGAGGTCATGGCTAAGGACAAGGGCACGATAAGCTGCATTCCATGAGCCCCCAAATCTACTGGTCAGTAAGTCACGCATTCTCTTATCTGTTCCCTCCCTCACTACTGGTTCACTATTTCTCATGCATTCATTCACTTACTCATTCCCTTGTTCTTTTATGCGTTCACTTGTTCATCCATTCCTTCTCACTCATTCATCCACTCATTCATTAATTCTACTATGTACCAATGCCGTGATATTGTCCTTCAATCACACCTTCTGAGCATCTGTTACATATCCTCTGCTCCGTGCCACGGGCCACAGAAAGGGGAAGCTTAAAACATCCCTGCCCTTGAGGAGCTACCTGTCTAGATTTCACACGAAGGTCAGTTTATTGTATGAGTCAAGGTTGTGATAAGGTTGTTCAAGTTCATGATGCCGACCACGGATGAACAGAAAAAGGCAGCATGTTGGAAGGAGAGACTTCTGCAGGAGGTATTTGAGGTCAGCCAGGCTGCATGGCTAAGGCTGCGAAAGAAGGCTGAGGGACTGTAGGAGATGGAGCTACGAGACTGCAGAGGCAGGGGGTCCTATGCCGTGAGCGCAGACCCAAGAGTCAGGCAGAGCTAGTGACCATCCAGGCTCAGTGTCCACGCTGGGAACACGAGGGCAAACACAACCTTCACACAGCACTGACACTGGGATGTCTGCCGTGTGCTCGGTATGAGCCAGGCATGGTGCCCTGTGCTTTGGGCACATTTAATTTTCCCACTGGTTTTGGGATAAATACTATGGGTTTCTCCATTTTACAAGGAGGAATTTGAGGCTGAGAGAGATCAAGCAACTTTTTTAAGATCACAGAGCTAGGGACAAATCTGAGATCCGAACCCCAGCAGTCTTGACTCCAAGGCCAGGCTTCTAATCAACATGAGAACTTCTTCCCGAACATGAATGAGACTTTGTGTGGGTCAAGCACCATGCAGGTGCTTGATAAATAAGAGTTGAGCCTGAGTCTGAGGGGGCTGCAATACAATCTCTTAAATGCCTTTGGATGGAATGACCTTCAATTCTATGCCCTCTTTTCTAAGATGGGGACTGAAAGCAGTGACCCAAGACTCAGCCCCCAAGGAAGAAGCTTGCCTCCCCTCTCTTCCTTCAACAGCTTTATTCAGCTGCCCCAGGGGCAGCACAAGGCACTGTTTTGGCTTGCTTTCCGAAAACACCGCTTCCCAGAGGTGTCCGCCTGCTCGGGGTTTCTGCAGCTGGGCCCCAGACGGAGGAGCACGGGGCTCGCCAGATCTTAAAATAAACCCACCACTGGGAATCCTACAGCATAAACTCACTTCCCCTTATCAAACAAACAGAAAATAAGTTTGGGCAGGTGCGGGGCAGTTGGACGTGACCTTGAGAGTCCAGCGTGGGGAAGGGACAGGGGTGCGAGGAGGTTATACACAGAAGCTGCCTCTGATCCCCTTACTGCTTTGACAGCCTCCTTCCCAGCACCCTGGGGAAGTCTTTCCTACATCTGAAGGCAGCAGAAGGGCCTGACGTCCATTAGCAAGCTCTGTATAAAAGAACGACTAGCATAATCCTCTCTCAAGCTCCAATGCCGCCTTGGATACCAAACATTCTATGGCTCCCCATTGCCTAGAGAGTAGAGTTCAAACGTCTCGGTCTGAGAAGAGCCAGGTCATCGGGTACATTTTTCTTTGTTACTGTGAACTCTGCCCTTCATCCTGGGAGCCTTGGAAAAGGCACTGGATAGGCTAGAGGCAGGAGAAGGGCGTGACGGCTACGAAGCATGGTTATGTAGTAAGATTAGTGCATGCAGGACCTGGAGTCAAGTGGGCAAGTAACTTCACACCCTCAGTGCCTCATTTTCCCATCTGTAAAGTGGAGATGGTGACGATAAGGGTGCTTGTCTCAGAACATGGCTGAAGGAGAAGGGGACTGGAGCACCAGGAGCTATGATAAATGCTCAGCAAATGCTTACTGCCACAGGCAACTGCTGACCCCCAACAGCCTCAGTTTCACCCATTGTAAAATAGGGAATTACCAACCACGTCACCTGCCTCCTAAAGCTGGTGGGAGCATTTAACAAGCAAACCCATATCTGGTGCATGGATAACTGAGTTGCTCTTCGCAAAAGTCCCTGCCTTTTTGTTGTTTTAAAAAATAATGATGACAATAACAGTAATAACAGTAAGAGATGATGAAAGTTATAGGTATTCGTTGGAGAACACTTTTAATATAGCAAAACAGGTTACAAAGAAATAAATATTACCTTGAACTCATGACCTAGAGGTAATCCATTACTATTTAGTATATTAGGTATACGAATGTGTACAGGAATATGGATATGAATATGCATAATTCTCATCACAAACATACACACACACGCTCGCCTGTCTTACACTATACATAACATTCTGTGACTGTCTTCACATTAAATAGCTAACAAATGACCCCACCAATTGTCACTGATTGTGATCTAATGATGATACCAAGGAGCGTTCTAAGCCCTTCACCTGTACAATGACACCTACTATCACACAGGGTAAGTGTGATTATTCTCCATGGTATCGATGACATAACTGAGGCTCAGGGAGAAGTAAATTGCTTGGGTCAAAGGCATGGAGGGCTCAAGCCCAAGCTTCCTGCCCTGAACCACTGCATCACGCTACTGCCCTGTCTGTGCCCCTCAATCGTCTTTCACATCATCTATAGTGACCACATATGTGGCAGCATACAGATTTCAGCGATCCATTCCCTTTGGACTTGGAAACAGTTGCTCATTTTTTACACATATAAGCATTTTTCTTCTATGCCTGGGAGATAGCAAGTGCCTAATTAATATTTGGAGAATAAACCTTGGTAAGAACACTCGTATGACTAAATCTTTAAATGCATTAACTCACTTATTTCCGTAGGATACAGTCCTTAGAAATAGGGCTGCTGTGTCAAAGCGCGTGTACCTATGAAGAAGCCCTGACACTCATGAAGATGGTAACAAGACTGGAGAAGGCCTGGTTGCCACACTCGAGGAGGCCCTGACTCTTGGTGAGCCCCCTGTGGCCTATTATCTTCAGGAAGTAGAGTCCAGGCTGTTGCCCAGGGCTTATCCAGCAGCTCAACATGACCACACTCTCCTATTGTTCAACTAGGCCTGCCCCCATCACCTCCCTGGTGCCTGCTTGGTCTGAGCACTTGGGACCCTCTTAACCTCCCCGAGTTTCAGAAGGGGCGTCAAATAATTATTGATTCATAACATACGCTGTGCAGTAAGAAAGGTTCGTCTTGGTTTTGCTGTGTGACCCTGGGCAAGCTATTTAAGGTCCCTAAACCACACTTTCTGCATCTGTAAAACGGGCGCAATAACAATAGCAGCGACCTCACCGGGTTATTTTGAGGATTCTCTGAGACAAACCTATGAAGTGTTTCACACAGTGCCTGGCATATCAGAGGCACTCAGTAATTACTGGAGACCAGCACTGACCCATACGGGAGCCACCAGCCATGTGTGGTCGCTTCAATTTAAATTCATTAAAATTACTTAAGACTAACAACGCAGTTCTTCAGTCTCACTAGCCGTCTTTATATATATAAAGGGCTCCATGGCTAGCATCCTGGGCAGCAGACCCAGAACACGTCCATCTTTGCAGAAAGTTCTACTGGACAGCACTGCCCTAGACGCTTTACCCAGCGGGCGACCAGGCCTGAGGAAGAAGCTCCCAAGAAGGAAGGCACTCCAAGCGGTTGACCCGGCGAGGCCTCCGCCCTCTCGTCTTCCCTGCACAGCCCCTGTGCCTCGCTCTCCCCAGTCCTGAGAACCCGGCCCTGTTCTGTATTTTGAATTTCATCCAGCTGCTTTTGTCACCTCATCTATCAGAGATCCTAAGGAAAACAAACATTTCAAAGCTCGTGGTCGCCTTGAATATGCTTTTGCGGGTGTAAGTTTGTTATCGTAGCTCAGTGAATTAGTTCTGCTGTTAATGGGTCACTGAGCTGAGGGGTTCCTTTAAAAAAACAACAGTAAATCAATCACCCTTTAGATCTGTACAAAGGGGAACCAAAAAAAAAAAAGATTTAGTTTATGGGGGTCTGGTAGCTAGTGGCAGCTCCTAAGCCCCTAAGAGGCCGGCAAACTTCCAAACTCATGTTATTGTTTCTTTTCCATGTGCGTCGAGCTGGCCAAGGAAAGGTGCTACAGAAATAGAACGTAAGCAGGGCTGTGTGAGGGGACGGGGCACCGGATGTGGGGTGTCGGCTTGGCTGGGAATGGGAGCCCAGTGGGAATCTGCTTTTGAGGAAATACCCAGCCCGTGGGTCTTTTTAAGAGACCCAAACCTAAAGACTCTTTATGGGGCTGGGGTGGGTTACTGACACTTAGAGAGAACTTAGGTTTGGACTACATGAGCCTGAGGCCCCCAAAGGTCATTAGCCCAAACGGGAAAGCAGGAAGGCCCTTTGGGGAGCATCTAATTCATTGGGTTTTCATAGTAAAATCATCTCCCCACACACAATCTGAAGCAAAACTCCAACACAAATGAAAAACAGTTGGAAGGGGGGCACCCCTGGTTCAAGCAGATATGGAGGCCCACTCAGGGCAGTTCCCTGAGGCACCCTGGTGGAGCAGAGTGCCAAAGCCACCCAGGCTGCTCCATTTCCCACTCACCCATCGTCCACTTCCCTTTTGAAGAGTGGCGCAATTGTGGAAAAGAAAAAACAAACTGCTTCGAGTCCGATATGTACCCTGGGGCAAATGACATCAGTGGTCTCAGTACTGTCATCTGTACAATGGGGACAGTTCCTACTCCAGAGGTTTGGGGTGAGAATTAAATGAGACAGTGTGTGTTCAAGTCCTTGATGGACAATAAACTTTTATATAAGTAGAAATACGATTATTGATAAGAATCCATTTTATAGACCTGTAAGGAGAGCATTTACTCCTTTTTGTACCTCCATGCTTTTCTTCCAAACAAGTATTTATTAAGCCGGAAGGCCCCATTCTAGGTGCTAGAGATACAGTGATGTATTAAAGGTAATCTCTGCCTTCACAGGACTCGCTTGTTCTGGTGGGCAGGGACACCTAGACTGAATAATAGAGTTTGTGCTGGGTTCCCATATGCAGTTCTGTAGATCTTATGCAAGGGCTCTCAGCTTAAGGGGTCAATGGTGAGGGCGTGACTGCCCCGAGAGAGGGGGTATCTTGTTCTAATTTGCCAAAGATGAGGGTTAGAAGTGGCCTTGATACATGCTAAAAGGAAATGCAGGGCATCCTAGAACCCAAAGAATGAGTCCTTAATACTGTTATTGATGGTATATTAAAAAAGGGGCTTTGATAAGATATATGCAGTTAGGAAAAGGACATATGAATCTCATGTAATAATTGTGTATTTGCAAAACCAAAAGCATTCTAAGTTTTTTGGTTTTTGTTTTTGTTGTTTGGTTTTTTGTTTGTTTTTTTGGTAATAAAACAGTAAAGGAGGGCGTGAGAGTTTCATGCTTAAAAAAAAGTTTGAACCACCGCTGGCAGAGAAAAATACAGATGTGCAACTAGGAGAAACCTAGGAGGTAGAGTCCAAAGAGTCCATTTTCTTGAGAAAAGAGAGGGATACTATAGACTGAAAGACATTAGGTGACCTAGTGGACAGAGGCAGGCTTTCTGCTCAGGTTTCCTGGCATTGGTTCTGGTCAGCTTCCCACTGTGTGTCTTTCTGAGGAGATTTCAGATGCAACCTCCTCCTTGTCCCCTAAGGGTGTCATGGAAGGAACAGTATCCTGATTGTTTGGGGTGAGGAATTGTTGGGAACAATTCTTAGCAAAGGTAAGCAGCTTGCTCAGAGTTATTCTGAGCCAGGACCGGAGCCCATGCCGACACCCGGCCCCGCACACCTGGCAGAGGGTAGGGCCCTACCTGCGTAGCTCATGAAGTTGTTGTAAGGAGTGTTGAAGAAGTTATGAAAGCCACAGGTGTCGTTTCCTGGGCCTGGGTCACCGCAGGACTTGTGTTTTGGGGCCGGGTTGGTGTCACTGCAGAGGTCTCCAGTCTCAAAAGAGGGCTCGGTTTCCATACAGGGGTCACTGCAAGACTGGATTTCCGAGATGCCTCGGAAGATGTGATAGAGGCCCAGGCTGTGCCCGATCTCATGGATCATGGTGTGGGTGTGCCCAGGAATGCCATAAAACGATGGGTTCAAGACAATGCCACCTGCAAGGAAAAAGCCAGAGCATTAGACAAACCGGATGCTTCGCTTACTGGTGCAGGAATCTCCCAACGGATAGGGTGCTGTCCAAAGGAACCACAGGATTCTCCACCCCATGACTCCACTGCCCTGGGAGCTGCTAGGACTTGTCATACAAATCATTGATGGCATAGGAAGGAGTCTCAAAAGTCATTTTGTGCAGTTCCTTCACTTTTCAGATAAAAAAGCCAAGGCCTAAAGAAGTGAGACAACATACCCAACGTGATGCCAAACAACTTAAAAGAGGTGGTGTGATTAGAACCTAAGGACTTTGGTTTCTAGGCTGGTAGACACTTTTGCTGCAGCGTCTTCCTCAGAAAGTCACACCCAGGCTTATAAACATCCGACATGCGCTTTTGTTGAAATGAAGCCCCTCACGGTTCAGACACTTTGGTCTCAGTTCTCAGTTTGCCTTCATTACCCTGTGACGTGGAGCAAGCCAATTCCTACCTCTGAACCCCATTTCATCATCTCTCTACTCTGTGGGCATGAAACACACAGGAAGGCCGGCGCCATGTTGTGCTCACCATTATTATAACAGTGATCGTAACAGGCAACATTTCTGAAGCACTTGCTACATCTCTTCAGGCCCGTGCTGAGGGCTTCTTGTGTATACTCACACTTCATCATTCACAACCCAATGAGACAGGCACTGATTCACACAGAGGTGAAGGAACTGGCCTACGATCAAGAGTTAGTCAAGTGTGGAGCTGAAAGTTGGACCAAGGTCCTTGGGTTCCACAGCCAGGGCTCTTAAGCTAGGTCTACTGTAAATGCCTATCACAGGGCCGGCAACAAGGCCTCTCAATAAACCTGTGTTGAATATTTGCTGAATGCTGACCCAACAAAATAAGTGTGACCAGGTTTAGTCACACGTGAGGAGCTAGCATAGCACCTGACATACTGTCTAACTACTCACCACCCTACGTGTGGCTCGAGAACAAGCAGCGTGCTCATCACCTGGAAGGTGATTAGAAACGCAGAAGCTCAGGCCTCATCCAAGATCTATGGAATCCGAATCTGCATTATAACAAGAGCCCCAGGTGACCCGTCTGCATGTTCCAGTTTGAGAAGCAATGGTCTACACCGCATGCCCTAGAAGATTGAGCATGGCTTTGCTTAGGGAGACAAATGGAATGGATCGCAGCAGAATCAATGGATAGCACTGTTCCATGCTCATTTTGGGCATTGGAGAAATACATATAGGCTAGCAGAGAGATATTTAAACTTTAAAATCTAAGTGTATCTAAGGGAAACTTAAAACTCAGGTCTGAGCTCCCTGTAAGTTAGTAACTTGAAGTGCAGAGCAGTGTCTTATAAAAGAATGGGAGGGAGGCAGAGCCTTGTTGATTTGTCCCGGCAAGCCTGGAGTGGGCGAGGGGAGAGTTTGATCTTGGACTGAACCGCTGGGAGGGTGAGCTCGCTCAGGCATGGGGCTCACGGAATCGACTAATTCTGAACTGCTCAGAGCCTTCTAGCACAAAGATAAAGACGTATGAGAAGGGGTGTGTGGGGGGGGGCGGGGGGGAGAAGGGGCAGGCAGAGTCAGGGAGGAAGAGAAATTGAGACAGGAAATCTCTCTCAATTAGTTTCTGTCACTCATAATAGGAAATACAATCTCCTTCCCACCCGATTTTTTCCAGGGATCATGGTGCAACAGCAGGAGAAGAGTGTAACTATATATGGTTCTAACAAATTGGGTTTGATTGGGGCTACTGCAGAGAAATAGCTTATGATCAATATCTCAGAGTGGGGAGGTGGCAGCCTGAAAGCCAGCTGGAGTTAGCCTGACATGGGTTCCAATCCTCCATCTGCTGTGTGATCTTGGGAAAGTGACTTTGCATCTCTGGTGAGCTCTCACATCAACAGCAACAATAGTGCCAGTGATGCTCTGTCTTCATGAAGCTGTGACATTGAGGTATTGTGAGGGGACCCCACAAGTATTTACAGGGACAATGACAGGATTGCAGGCTTCACGTCCAGGCCGGCTCTGTTTGCTTTACCTCATTCCCTCCCAACTCACCCCTTTTCACAGAGCAAGAGCAGAGAGCCCTGAGTCCTGTTTCATTGCTTCTCTTAAAAGGTGAAATAGCTTCAGCCTGACATCATCCTGAAATACTATAACATGCCATGGATTTATAGCCTTCTGTATTCCTGGTCCTGAGCCAGTCTCTGAAATTCATGGAATTATCAGGAGTATTTTTCTCTAACGTTAGAAGCCTGCTGTTCAACTCCTCTAAGACTCTGATCATGGCCTTTTTGGTGGCTTTGCCAACAGGACAAAACTTCAGCCCTGAGAAGGGTCCACGGAGGCCATCTCGTCGAACCTGTTCATCTAAAATCTGAGGAAATTGAGACCTGGGGAAGGAAAGAGACTTGCCTAAGGTCCTACTAAATCATGTCACAGCTGAGAACAACCATGGCTTTTGGCTCTGTACTGGCAGGATTCCCACAGGTAACCCTAGGCACGTGACACGAGCTGATCATCTTAAAAGTTTGCTGAGGTTGCACGCTCTCTTCTGCCAAACCCATCTGCCTGTGTCTGTCTGTCTACCTGTTGACCTGTCCATCATTAATCTCAGGGTTTCTCAACTTCAACACTATTGACATTTTGGACAAGATGAGTCTTTCTTGAGGATATTGTGGGAGATTTAGCAGCATCACTGGCCTCTACCCACTAGATGCCAGTAGCATACCCCCATTTGTAACAAAAAATATCTCTAGACATTGCCAAATGTCTCCTAGGAGGTAAAATCCCCCCAGGTGAGAAGCACTACATATTTATCGTTACATCTCTCTCTGCTCACACACACACACACACACACACACACACACACACACACACACACACACAAACACACACACACACACACATCAGTTTCGTTCTCTTAAAAACAACTGGGAAAGAGAGCAGTGTACAGAGGACTAAGTCTGGAGTTTGATTTAGCACAACTTCATCATTTGAAAGGGCAAAATTCCACATCTCCAAAATATGGGAAGTTTAGCGCCGCTATTGTACTCTGGGCCTATCACTGGGAGACCAGGCAGGCCTGAGGAAACACCCAGCGCTGTGACTATGCTGAGCGCTAACATTCTCAGATGAAGACGCTCACTGAGTCATCACTCTTCATTGGTGTAAATAATGGGAACATCCCGTCCAAGGGAAAATGTTTAAATAAACGCTAGTGCCCTCACTCCATGGAATATTATGTGGCCATTACAAATCTCGCCTTTAGAGAGATGGAAACGAACCAGAAAGACAGGCTTTTCTCTTGTGACGTCAAGTGAAAAAAGTTGAACGGGAAGTAATTATGAAGACAGCCGCAACATGGAAAAAGGTAGGCAGCATACTATTAAGTGAGAACAAGAACACAAACATGCACGTATGCTAGGATTCCAAATATGCACAAGTTGAAAAACGCTTGTCTACATAGAGACGGGTCCTGGAAGGAAGCAAGGAAAAATAAAAATTGAACAACTACAATGTCTGCTTGCTGGGCCCAGTTCAGAAACCACTGTCATGTCTGACCTTGGTGACTGGTTTGTATAAATATATGTCTGGTTTATGGATATGCATAATTTGAATGTAAGAAGAGTTCCTGATGTTGTCGCTGGGTAGGACATGGAGGAACAAGGAGCTTTTACAAATTCACTTTCTCTTGCCTCTTTGGAGTCTTTCAAGCCAACCCATGATAGACTATGCCAGCACAATGTGGTTATCAGGCTGAGAATATATCTGCATGACCTAAGAGGCAGGGGTATAAGGAGAAAGCAATCAACGGGCAGAGGTGGGAACCTGAATTCAAACTGTGGCTCTGCCACTGACTTGTGTGTGACCTAGGACAAGCCCCAGTTCCCTCTACGAAGCTCAGTCTCCCCACTGGTAAAACAGGGCTAATAATATTGTGTTCTTTTCTTCAGAGCATTGCTTGGTGGGTGAAATGAGATAAGGAATGCTGAAGGATTTTATACATTAAAAAGTGATAAATATTGGGCTGTCGGAAAAGTCATGATGCATTTTTTTTGCAGCGAAAAACATAGACAAAAATACGTCATGACTTTTCCGACAACCCAATAGATTGTTCCCCGTCCCCACTACCACCACCACCATCATGACTGAGTCACCACCATCATCATCGGTACTAAATTCATTCCTGTGCTAATCCGGTTTCCTCCTGGAGAAGTTTCTAATTCTCACCTAAGTGCATTAGGGCCTCCTTGTCCCATGGCCAAGTGGCTACTCCTGCCAATTCCTCCTCCGAGGAGTTTGCAAAGAAGATATTGAGGTGTGTTGATCCATCCAGTCTAAGAATGTTCTTCAGTTCATTCACATCCAAGTATGCTCTGTAATAGAAAAAGAACCTTGGCTGTCATCACCATCCAAACAAGTTACTATTCACATAACAGGTACTGCTAATTAAGTGAGAGCTACTCGGTGCCAGGCACTTTGCTGAGCACTTTATAAACATCACCTCATTGACTTCCCCCAATAATATTATAAGGTAAGTGATACGATCCCATTTTACAGATAAGAAAATTGCATTCTCCTGGGTTTAAGAGGCTTGATAAGGTTCCTCAGCTTATATACAGCAGAGTTCGGAGCAGAACCTAGATTTATCCAAAGTCAACATCTGTGCCCCTAAGGACTCCGCCATATTGACTGATGACGAGGCCACATCATGTGGGTATAGATCAAGAACACAGACCATGGAAGAGATCCCATGTTTTCTCGTCTTGGCTTCTTTCCTCCTTTACTTATTCACTATGGACCTGGGACCATTTATTTGGCCAATACAGAGCTGCACTAGGAGGCCCGCTTTGCATTTCTATACTAACCTTGCAGGAGGCATTATTACTTTGTTTTCAAAATAAGCAAACATGGGGTCCAATGTTATTAAACAGGGTGTCCAAAGTTGAGGGGCTAGGTTCCAAGGTCAACTCGGTCCAGCTTGAAAACCTATCCTCTTTTCACTGGGAGCCATGCTGCCTCCCCGAGTGTCTACTTCTGCATTCTGTAAGCCTCTATTCCTTTGTCTATAAAACAGACTAGAGAGGGATATTGTATTTGAGGCAGCTGCCACTGTAGTCTTGACATATCTGGAAAGTGCATTAGCGCCCCATGCGGCAATTGTCAACTCTTTCATACATGGAACAAACACACATTGGAGAGAGAAAGAAATGGTCTTTGGAAAGAGACTGGCATATCCTAGATGCTCAATAAGTAAGAGCCCTTCCCTTGCAGAATATGACTCTCTCATCAGAACAGAAACACTGCAGCTTGGATCAGTCACAGGCATATGACTCAACGGCTCTCGATGGAGAGAGCAGCCGGCTGGCCCCTCTCTCTCATGCTTCTGTCAGCCCCCATTTGATGTCTGTCATCATTATCTTAGGGATCTTATGAGCAACTGATAATCATTTCTTGAGGAAGGTTGGAAATGAATCAATGAATAAATAAATGAAAACATACATAAATAAGCAAGCAGGCAGCTTGATGTAGTAGATGAGATAAAGTCTATGAATAATGATATTTAATGTCTGTCGGGTCCTTCTATGTGGCCTGGCTTTACATGGATTATCTCTTTGAATCTTAATAACATGGAGGTAGGCAGTATTATTATCCCCATTTTCCAGAGGAGAAAACGGAGGCTTCTGTTTCATACCTTGTGAAGGTCATAGAGCCAGTTGAAAGTGTTTTCGTCTTTTATAATGTTGTCTCTCCATAAGGGGTTGGCATAGAGCCTGGTATGCAGATCACATAACGACGGTTCCCTTCTCTTTCCCTCCTGGAGTCAGAGAAGGGTCTCCCCACATGTGAAAGAGTCAAGTCCAAGCTCCCCAGCATGGCCTGCAAGACCCTGCCTCCCCTTTTAGCCTCATCTCTCTCTGTTCCCTCTCTTGAATTTCCCACAATACACTGGCAGCATCCACCATGGTGTCTTACCCCAAGTGCCTTTACTCATGCTGTCCCTCTGTAGGACGCTGCTCCCCATTTTGTTCTCTGATGAACAAACCCAAAGTCTGTTTTGGTATCATTCCTCCAGGAAGACTTCCCTGATCTCCATCTCACCTCCACCCCTCTATACCATCTCTGTATTCATCCACCTCCTGCTAGTGCATGTGCTCTCACACCATTCCACATAATCACTTCACCTGTCTATCGCTGCCACTCTCTGTGGCTCCCTGGAGGCAGAGAATGTGCCTCATTCATCTCTGTTTACCCAGTCCTCAGCGCAGGGCTTGACGCCCTAGGAGCACTCCGTGAATGTTGATGGAGTTGAAGTTATATTGGGAATGAGAGAAAAACTAAAATATGTAGGTCCTAGTCTCAGTTTCAGCACTTCGTTCCTATGAGGCCTCCAGTTTCCTTATCAATACAATGGGTGCTATAAAGAGCATTTCTGTGGGTCAAAAACCTATACCTTTTCTGTGATGGGAATAGGATATGCCTGAGACCTCGCATGCCCTCCTGTCCACTCAGGTCAACAGCCTGAAGCTCCTGAGACCAAATATTCATAACCATAATTTTTATGACTTTTCCAAATAAAATAAAAGAAAAGGTTAACTTGAGTTGGAAACAGGCAGGGCCAGGAGAGGCTGCCTCTGTGTTGACCAGAACTAGCTTGAACAGACTAACTCCGAAGACAGCTACACAAGCTCACACACTGACGTGAAGTCTTGCTCCTGGGGCCTTCTCTCCCCTAAGATCCCACCTTCAGCTTTAGACTGGAGTTCAAACCAGTGTGTTCTGTGATCAGAGAAGGAAAGCCAACACTTACTAAGCCCTTGCTACATGCCAGCCCCTGTGCTAGCGACACATGCTGTCCCACCTCTGTGTAGTGCCTGAAGTCACACAGGAGAGCGGGTAAGATGGCTTGTTCTCAAGCCAGAGCTTGGGGTTTGAATCCAGCTCTTCTACTTGCTGTTTGGCAATTTATACAACCTCCTGCGCCCCGGTTTCCTTATATACAAAACAAGGGTAAGAAGGGTTGTTTAGAGGACTTGGGATGTTAATAAAGGAAGCGTAAAGGGCTTAGCATAATACCTGGCATTCAGTAAGTGTTTAGCTATTCCTCTTATTTATCCCTGTCTTACAGATGAAGTAACACAAGTTCAGGGATCACATAAATAGTGACAAGGTCAAGTGAAAATCTAGAGGTGTCCCGCTCTTCCCACAGGGCCACGGCAAAAAGGGAAACAGCGTGTGGGGGGAGAAGCTGAAAACCCAGAGAAGTCGAGCTTTTCTTGGGTCAGCCCTTTCCACACTATATATTCTTTCCTAATTGATTTGTCCATTTCCATCGAGCGTTCTCTCAGGCAGAGAACACACATGGTTATTAGAGAAAGTCACCTCTTTGCCCCATTGCTCTCGGCTGAGAGAGCTTCAGGAGAGGGAGAGAAGGGTGGGGTAGGGCCTCGGGAGCCATTTTAATTGGTTGTTTATTCAGTTGTAATTGCAGAAGTAATCTTTTCAGAGGGTGGTATTCATTCTGCCCCAAGGCAGTGATGTGGGATGTTGGAGCCATTCCGCTGCTTGTATGTTTGTTTGGTTGGGGTTTTTTTTTTTTTTGCTGTTGTTGTTTTTTCATACTTTGAGAAGCCTCTGTTTTCCAAAAAGGAAGCATCCATGGTAGCCATCCAGGTCCCTGGCCCCACTGGTCTCTCTTTTCTCCACCCAAAGGAAAAGAGCTCTGTGGCTAAAAGTTTCCTTCTGCTGGCTAAGGTCTTCTCTCCGATTCAGAGCCAAGCCGGGTGTCTCTCAAATGCATCAGGGGAAAATCTTTAGGATTTTCCTCCTTCTCCCCATCTCTTTAAGATACTCTGTATTCCTTCCAGTCAATGGATGGAGGAGAAATCACAGAAGGTCAAATGGAGAAGAACCGTGAAGAGTCTAGAGAGATTGACGGTGGGACTTGCTCAGGGCCACTTGCCTTTCCATTTTGCCACTGTGGGAAGGCTGGCCCTGTGTATATATTATAAATTGGTCAAATTTATTTGTTTTTTAAAAAAATCATTAGCCCAGGAAAAAAATCAACCCAAATCCATAACTCTTGGAGTTTATTAATTTATGAGCCAGTCGTACCCAGGGTGGGACAGACAGACCTATGTCCAAGCACAAATTGCTTTACCGCTCCGAGTCGCAGTTCACAAGGATACTAGCAGGATTCAATGAGATAGCTCCGCACAGTCCCAGCATGCACTGCCCTCCATGTCCTGCTTTCCTATTTTCTCCTACGGGGGGATAAACCTAAACTGACAGTCTGCCTCTGGGTGGCTCTCCCAGTCTCAGCTTTCAGCATCTCATCCCCACCACTCAACCTTCTTCCTCCCACACCCTCCCACTCAAGTTCTCACACTTCCCTCATCTGAGAACCTATGGTTTTCCCCAATTATGCCCATTCCCTAAGCATGTTTATTATTTCCCCTGAATCTCAGCCTTTGAAAATCTTACCTTCCCTGCTAAGTTCACGTGCATGTGATGTACTCCATGTATACACTTGGGACCACCCAAACCTGTAAAATGGAATAACGATGTCCACTTCTCAGGGATGTCAGGTGGGCTAGAACTAGGTTCAACTAGAACTAGAGGCAACACAGAGAAAGTTTCTCACACAGTGCCTGGCACACAGAAGGCACTCGATCAATTAGCTTTGGCTGTTTTTATTGCACTATTATTATTATTGCAATAACAATGATTAGCAACACCAAAATCATCCTCATCACCTCTAGCTGGAAATGACTGCTCCCTCCTCAGCGCCCCCTCGCCCACTTTTGATTCTTGTGGTTCTACTATCACCCTACTTTGTGTTATCTTCACTGTGTGAGGACCTGTCTTCTCCACCAGACTATGAGCTCCAAGCAGGTGGGGCCAAGTCTTTGTCATCTCTGTGTCCCCTGAAACTTTCCTTCAAGAGAGAGACAGCGCTACCACTGATGGGCAGTTGGTGAGCACTGCTCTCTTCAATTGCATTAATAAGATGAGTGGCCCCGGGGCTCAGGGAGGTGCAGTGACTTGCCCAAGGTAACAGCAAACCTTGATTCCCTAACCTGTATGGCAGTGTTTTTGCACCAGTTAGTAAAGTCACCTCTTCCTTCAGTGGGACATGGTTCCCTGCAAGGGAGCATGGCTTGGAGAGTCAAGTCCAGGAGGGATTGCAGCCCCCAGGCTCCTCCTCAGCAGAACCTGCACTGCCTGAATTTTTGCCCTGCTCCTACCACCCTCAGCTGCCTTTTCTGCAGCTCATGGTCCCCTTCTGATCAGTGAGCTCGTGCACTAGTTTAGTGTCTTCCAAATCATGATCTACAGAAGGATAAACCCACAAGAAGCAGCTGAATATTTAAGG